CTCCGCCTTGTCTTCCAACGAGTATCGCGGCTAGGGCTAGAGAGAGATAGATAAATAAATAGAAAGAAAGATTGATGGATAGATGGATAGACAGTTAGATAGTTAGATAGACAGATAGATAAACAGACAGACAGACAGACAGACAGACAAATAGACAGACAAACAAACAGATACACAGACAAACAGACACACACACACACACACACACACACAGCACAGCACACACGCATGCGCGCGCGCACGCACACGCACACACACACACACACACACACACACACACACACAACACACACACAGGCTACCCAACACACACAGGCTATAACGCGTACGCCAACGCACACATTCTCGTGCTTGCTATATGCGCGCACGCATATAACGTAAAAAATCAACAGCCTGTTTGGTGTTGTTCTGTCTGCGGTTAATAATAATGTTATATCTCCAGGTTAATGTTAACTCTCCAGGTTTTAGGCAAAATTTTTCCGATTTTTCATTTTCAACCTTATTCGATGGCTAACACTATGGCAGATGGGGTCGTTGTCGTATCAGGTACTACAGATATGTACCCGAGGTAGCTTTAGGTTGTTTAGTATTATGTTTATATTTTTATAAGAGGTATGTTTAGGGTTAGGGTTATGGTTAGGTTTAGGGTTAGGGTTAGGGTACATATCTGTAGTACAAGTCTGGTACACTTTGTGTATACATATATGTACCTCGGGTACATATCTGTAGTACCTGATACGACAACGACCCCTTGAGCAACACTATGTGCCGCCTCTGTACATACTCATTTCTCCATATAACGACACATGTGAGCTTTCAGAGCGTTTTGATTGCCCGAGTACACGTGTAGTGAGCCGTGGCTGACGTCACTGATGACGTCAGAGACATGATACAACAAGCATTGTCATGATATTCACTAAGCCAGCATCATTTAGCATCAACCTTCCTACAGCTGTTGTCTGCCAGTGATAGTATTTGAAATATCCCCACGACCCAAAATAGCGCTATTTCCATTCTTACACAACCTGTATTCAGGCGCGCGTTTGTTGACGCATAGTTTAGTAACGGCATGCAGTAGGCATCGTACGCGCGTTTTGCATGAAAGTGCGATAGTAACCTCGTAATTTCTCACAATTTCTCAATGTGCATAGAACAGTTTACCAATTTAGTGGTGTCAGTTAGTCATGGATATGTCACAGTAAGTACTAATTAACAGTAGATTTTTTCACATACGTTCACCCATTTTTCACACAGGCGGTCGATCATTGTGAAAAATAGAAAAACGCTGATTTCTCCGTTTCGATTTCTGCCATAGTAGCCGATGTATAATTTGATATTTCTCTGTGATTACAACTCTGAATAATTTAATCTTACACTCGTGGGAGTCGTGTTAATGGTAACATATTGCAGTAAAAAAGCGCGTCAGGGATTGTTATTAAGTGCCGTATTTTATGAGTTATGCCTCTTTATTCGCAAAAATTTTCAATTCTAACACAACTTGATTTTTAGCAGTTTTTTCATTCTTCTCAGTAAATATAAAACCTAAAAATAAAATCGTGGAGAGTTTGTCTCCTATATGAAATATGCATGCAATCTGGGAGTTTGAGAGGCGGGCTTTCCCCGTTAGAGAATATAACCCTCAACGTTGTTTTCATGACCGTAGCCTTGGGGGAGGAAAGAGTGGAGTTGGGGGTAAGAGCGCGAGCAAGAAAAGGCGATCGAGTTAGATACATGGATAGATAGATAGCTAGATAGACAGACAGACAGACAGACAGACAGATAGATAGAAAGACAGA